AAATTTAAGACCAAGATCTTTTTTTTTTATTCTGGTCAGGCAATAAGACCAAATGGTCTATAGTTCATGCTAAGCTGCAACCTTTTGATTATAATTTAGAATGTATTTTTCCAGAAGTTGTTGAAGAATATTACAATTAACAAAGATTCCTATCACTTTCAAGACTTTTCTACCATTACAAGGCAAAAAAATTATTGGGAAATTTGACCTTTTGAGTAATGGGATATGTATATTAGGAAAATTTCTTTGACTAAGTATGACTGTTGGAAGATATCATACTGAAGCAATATAACTTAGTTCCTACTAGGTTATATAAGAACCTGAGATCTATTATAAGTCACCTCTCTATCACAGATAAATAAAAAATCATTGCTTAAAGAAGATTGAAACCAAGTGTGTTCTAGAAGTAAAGATTTCCATTAAGTAATAAGTTTTTTCAGACAATATATGAGAAGAAAATTAAGGTCAACAATAAATAAGTTCCTCAAATAGTTAGTAAAAAAAAATGATATTTCAATTGAGCATTTCTTATTGAAAAGAGGTTTTAAGAAACAGATCTTTGGAGAAAGCTAGAAATTTTTTTTCAATTTTTTACCTTTTCATTTTCTTATTGTCTTTTTTTTTTTTTCAATTCATCCTATTATAGTTTCCTATATTCCAGTAGCTTGGTAAGATATATAATGGTGATAACCTGCTGGCAATTATGCAGTAGACTAGAAGGATTTTTATTCAAAGATACTGTAGAGCAAAATATTGTTCCTAAAACTGAACTTAGAGGCTCTTATGCTTATAACAAATTGATTAAATTAGAATAATAGTTTAGCTGTAATATATATCATGCTACTCAAATAAAAATATAATTATATTTTTAATTAATTAATAAATTGATAATTTAGCTTGACTATAAGTACTCAAAAAAAAAAAAACTAATCTTGATTACTTTATAGAAAAAGTATGGTTATCATATTTTTATAAACCTGAGAAAAAAATCAAAATTTCTTTAAAAGAAGCTATAATTGCCTATATGAATGACACAATTTAGATTGTCAAATTCCAGAAAAATCTGATAAAGATTTTGAAAGAGACAAAAAAATTCTATATAATTAATGATTCTTAAATTAATTTTATTTAATCAAAATTTTTAAGACTGAAACTATTCAATTTGAAATAGAGACTATAATAGTTCATGAAATTAGTAAGGAAAATCAGGTATAATTTCTAGATATCTGGTTAGAATTAAAACAGGATAGTAGAAATATTATTAATATAATAAAATCAAAAATTAGAGTAGTGATACAGACAATAAACAAGAAAAGATTAACAGAAAAGCATGTACAATATATCATCAATAAATTCTTGATTCCAAGAATAGAATATAGAATACAATATATATATTTTAATGAAAATATATACAATAATTTTATGACTATATATATATAAAGGTATTCAAGAACAAAGCCCTAATTTGTAAAACAATACCAAATAGTTGTATCCATAAAAAAGAAATATATGGACTCAAAAGTATTTGAGAAATATAATTGAAAAACCATATATTATCTTTTTTTTTTCAACTTTTTAACAATGATGCTTCTGAAATTGCTACTATAATTTATCTGAAATAAAGCCAAATTAATGTTAAGAACCAGGTAACATTTTGAAGAACCCTATAGAATCTGATAGTTTAATCAAAAGAAACTTTGCAGTAACAATATTGGTTCTTGTCAAAATACTACAAATTACATTTCAAAACTAGATATAAAAGAATATATTTAGCTATAAGGAAGACATACTATCTATTGAATCTGTTTTGCAAAATGACAAAGAATATGAAAAAAACTATTCTATCTCTATAAAAATATAAAATTAAGTTCTTTGACCAACTTATAAATATTATTACAATTATATTAAGAGACTGAAAAATGATTCAGATTTTTTTTAGTAAATATAAAGGACCAGTTTCTTCTTGGTATAAAAACATCCTAAAAGAAATAATAGAAAATTGGAATCTATTATGAAAATTATTACAAAATATGAACTGGACTAGTTATAACTTGCAAACAGAAATAGTATCAATAAACCTTGATAAAGAAAAATATATTGGGCAATATATTTTACTGTTTTAACTGATATATTAAAAAAAATCATATATTCTAAACAGTAAATCTTATTTTATATTATATCAGTTCCTATATAACTCTATTAGTAACTGTTTTTTACTACATCCAAAAACAACAGCTCAATCAATTAAGATAGCCCTTACTCAAGTTTATTTTCTCCCATAGCTAAATAGATAAAAAAGTTTAAGGAAAGGAAAATAGATTTATATTTCAGGCAATTCTACTAATTAACAAATATCTATAAATTAAAAATTAGAACCTATATCTATAATCAGATTTATAGAAATAGAAATTCGAGTAGAAAGTTGGGAAGTCACTCTGATTAACCAAGCTATTTAATCAGAGGAATATAGAGAGGATCTTATAAATATTCTAAGATATAACAAAATAAAAGGGAACATTTAATTCATTTTTTATATAGATGGCTTCTTTAAAAAATAGACTAAAGATAATAAACTAGAGATGAACTTTCATGGATCCTACTAGAAAATGATAGAATAATCAAGCAATTTTCAGCAGGGGCATTAATATGATCATTAGCAATAAAAGTGAAAATACTAGTTATTCTTACTGCATTATATATAGCTTTCCAAAATGCAATAGTTTTAATTAATACAGATTGTGGCATAATAGTCAAGATATGAAAATCTATAAGTTCACAAGTAAATATATCAATTAAAAGATAAATCAAAAATATTAACTGGTCACTAAGGAATAGAATCAAAAATTTGATAATAAAGAAAAATCTCATCCTGAATATCATAAAGATTAAGATACATAGTATCAATAAGTATAATAATTACATAGATCTTATTGTAAAGCAAGCAAGGTGGAAGAATCTAATAGTATAGTATTAATTTCTAGAACTAGAAAAATTATAAAAATAGTCATATAAAGAAAATATACAATAGACATTAATATTATAGACTTCATCAAAACTTTCAATAAAAAAAAGATTGAATTTGGATTAGATCTTATAGAAAAGGATTTAAGATCTTTGGATTAAACAGGATGATAATATAGATTGACAATTTTCTGAAATCAGTTTAATCTATTCAATACCTTCTATATCTTATTCAAAGCCAATAGAGACAAAAGTTTTATAACTAAGTTAACTTATAATAAACTTCTAGTATTATGAATAATTAAGAAAAGAAAATCTAATATCTATACTATAACAATCTGTCCAATTTGTAAGCTTTAAGAAGAAATATTAGGATATCTCTTTGAATGTTTAGTTACTATAGAAATCAGAAAAACATATGAAAAATGGCAAAAGAAAAGCTTATTTATTATATTGGCAAAAAAATAAAGAATAAGAAGAAAATCACATCCATAATTAATAATTAAATAGAAAACTAGTCAAAAGAAATATAACAATTTGACAGAAGTCTCTTCAATATTATTTATAGATATGTAAAAGAAAACAAAACCATTTTCTTAAAAAGTTATCTCAAAGAACAATTCAAGATCTTTCTAATATCTGCATAGATCACAATTAGCAAGCTCTGCTGAAAAATGTGAAAGAACTTTAAGAAAAAAATTTGGAATACCTAATATACTAAAGTGATATAATTGAAGAAAGTATTGGATATTATTAAAGAGAAAAAAAATCAAAAAGACTTAAATACAAGTTTATTGGACAGACATATTAAATCAAGAAAAACTTATATTATCTTTAATTGAAAATTCAAATCAAAAAGAAATAGGAAAAAAGAAGAAAAAGAATTATATGGAAATTATTAAGGATTGAATTTATCATAAAATAAAATAGTTTGATTTTTAGAATTTAGAATAATCTATAGTAATGACCTATAGATAATAATTTTGTTATTTAAGGAGTATTTCAAATCAATAAAGGAGCAAAATATTATTCTCTAAATTACACATATAAATATAATTTTTGATAACAGGTAAGTCAGAATATAAAAGTTAAATAATTTATAGATATCATATATTTATATAATAAAGACAAGCCATGTTAATCTGACTGCAATTAAAAATTTCAAGGAAGGCCAAACAAGTAATCTAGAAAAAAAATTTTTTTTTGAAAATATTTTATTACAAATTGCTTAAATTTATTAATTAGAATTAATGATACTATAATAAACTGTAACTAATTATATAAAAATTCTTATAATTTTTTAATACCTTACTTGAAAAGTCTTAATCAATATAATGAATACTATATATTTTAAAATAACAATGCATCAATTTATTAAGTATATCAAGTAATATTTAAAAATAATATCACTTATTTTTCTTGACCTGCCCAAAGTTCTAACATCAACTCTAAAAAATCTCTGAAATTAATTAGATATAAAGTTCATTAACATATACCATTATTAACTAGCAAAACTAAATTATTGAATTTTTCACAAGAATAAATAGTTCTATTTATCAAAATCCTGTAATTAATATATCTAATTGTATCAAAGCAGTTAAAAAATCTAGAAAAAATCCTACAAAATATTAAGTGGATAATTAGAAATTTAAAAGGTTATAGCTTAGAAATATATAAAAATTAAATAAGGAATTTATTTGGATTTTTTAGAAATTAAAAAAAAATTTTTTTTTTCGTTTGGCAATTAACACCAAATTTTGATCGCCGGCCGGTGACTTTTATCAGGGGAGTGTACGAGTTAGCTGTCATGTGATGGTCCAGACAATACTAATAGATTACTTAACATCTCAATAAAGACACGCCATGATAGCATGATGCAGGTTAAAAAAATAAAAAAAAAATAAATTTAAATTACAATATTTTACCAATACGCGTAACTTATTAGATAATAGATGGTCAATCTTTTCGGTTGTCGAAATCTTTGTTAAATTTTCTGGAAATTTAGAATGTTAGAACTGATAAAATCGAATATAATTCACCGTCAACATGTTGAAATGCAAACCTTGCAATCACCAATCTTCGAATTTCGCTTGTTCCAGCGCCAATTTCATATAGTTTAGCGTCCCTCAGAATGCGCCCGGTGCCATAATCATTTATATATCCATTCCCCCCCAAACATTGAATGGCATCCAGTGCGACTTCGGTGGCTCGTTCAGAAGAGAATAATATAGCCGCGGCGCAATCCTATATGAGGTTGTAGTCATCATATCTATGAGCTAAAATTTGTCTAATTACCAATTTATACTCATACACACCCTATTAGATATGTGACCACGATCACAGGCTCTGGCAACAGAATATACGAGTGTTCTGGACGCGATCAGCTTAGTGTACATGTCTGCTATCTTGGCCTGTATCAATTGGAAGTGCCCGATTGGCTTTCCAAATTGATGTCGTGTGTGTACATATGGAAGAACGATGTCGAGAGCTGATTGCATCAGCCTAATTTATAACCAAGCAACGTCATTGATTAACAATCGAACATTGATGGTTGATACCGTGTAATATACTGACCCTAAGGGTCCACCTGAAAGCACAACTCTTTCTAGATCTAGACCGCTCATCAACACATAAACACCCTTTCCCTCTTTTCCCAAAACATTTGAAGCTTTTTTTTTGAAACAAAACAAAAAGTGATAAATATACATTCACTCAGTCGGATAAATCAACTTACATGGCTACTAATGATAGATTACCTGGAATCTCGCAATTTTCGAACACAAGTTCGCACGTATTAGATCCGCGCATGCCAAGTTTATCAAGCTTTTGCGCTGTAGAGAATCCTTTGAAACCCTAAGCCGTAATAAGAATTTGTATTTGAGCAATCAATTTGACACATAAAGCAATATTGACACCGACCTTTTCAACAAGAAAGGCAGTAATTCCTTGTGCACCGAATGATGGGTCCGTTTTTGCGTAAACAACCAACACATCGGCATCAGGACCATTAGTGATCCACATTTTATTACCATTCAAGATGTATCGGTCTCCCTTTTTTTCTGCGCGCAAGCGCATCGACACAACGTCAGAACCAGAACCTGGTTCGGACATGGCAAGCGCACCAACAAATTCACCTGATATCAACTAAATTCATCCGAGGAGATGATTAGAAGAATTCAACCATTGGAAATCCCAAGAACGTATACCTTTGGTAAATACATTTGTTTCTGTTCCTCGTTACCATTTCGAATTATCTGATTTACACAAAGATTTG